TATCTATAAGTAACAGCACAGATCTTCAAGGGATGTCCTACGGATGTCCAGAGAATGTTTCTATGTTCTATGAATATCCTAAAGGTATATCCAGGATATTTTTCGGATAAAGTGTACTGTATGACATTGACCATGTTTGAAGACAAAAAACTGATACATGGAAATCAAGTCTGAGAGATACTCATGTGGACTCATATGGACGAGCCGATTAGTGCCAATATGGCGCGGCCCGATACGCGCTGATGCGCGCGACCCGCATCCGAACGTATCCAAGTACTGTGGGCGAGCCTGTCGCTGTTGACGCTGTGTCGCTGTTCGATAAGCCGGGCGTGAACGTGAACGTGCAGGAAACGTCAAGCACAGCCGAGATGTCGAGGAACGACGGCAAGAAGGACACCTCGGCGTCCGCGTTCCGTAAGATCGACGTAGACCAATACAGCGACAACAATTTCAAAGAGGAGGACGCGGACGGCGGCGTAGGTGCGCCCACCGGTCCGGACGAGAACGAGATTTTGACACTTCTTAGCCAATATCCTTTTGCGATACTTTAACATTCCGCAGAGTCTTTACTCTTTTCAGCAATTCCATCGTGAGATTTTTCTTAACACAATTATCAAGGGTAAGAACGCGGAGGCCCTAATATCGGTATTAAAGTCCGCACCGTTGGAGTGTAAGAATCAGCAAGTAAAGGTAACCTCAAACTGCGAGACAGTGATTCACCTTTTGTCGTGAAGCGACTTGTGATTTGCTAAATGGAATGGCATCGTGTACTTGAAAATTACATAAATTAATTGTGGAAAACAGTCATTATTCTAATCTAAATCGATCTAAATTTTGTGAACTAAGAACTTCTTGAGATTCACAATTAAAGGAGTATGTTATATTTTATTAATGAAAATTGCTTCGCAATTTGTCTGCTTTTATTTTTATTTTATGATTTATATATGATTCTAAGAAGACCACTTGCAAATTTAAATATAGATGTTAGAGTTCATATACGATTTATGAAAAAGTATATAGTTTCAAGCTTGATAGTCCAGCATGCTTCTAATGGGTGTGTTCAGCGAACATAACAGTTGAGTAAGCGCTCAGTAATTACCTGTGATTCAAGTAGACTTTTTAGATCTATGAATAAATAAATCTAAAATATCCTAATCGCAAGCTGAATACACCCAATATCATTTCACAGTGTTATGTGTATTTTATTGAATATAAATTTCTATATATATATATAAAAGCAAGTACATGAAACATTTTTCTATTTGCAGGACAGTGCACGAAACTTAACACAGAAGGTGCTTCTAAGTATAAAGTCGAATCAAGTGGACGATTGTTTAGCACAATTAGATCGTGACTTAATAGATGTTCTAATGAAGTATATTTATCGAGGTTTTGAAATCCCGACAGAAGGTAGCAGTAGTCACTTGTTACTTTGGCATGAAAAGGTATTTAATGTAAGCGGTGTCGGCTGCATTGTCCGTGTATTCTCTGACAGCAAACGGGCTTGAAGAGTTTTGTACATTTTGCAGTAACATGTTCATTATCATAATTACCATTAATTCTTACTGTTATTCATCGTCATTGTTAATGCGATGAGGATGTAGATAGGCAAGCCATTCACAATTTTCCATATGGGAAATACAACAAATTTGTGTACATTTGTTATCAATAAAGTAATTTTTATTTCTTGTACATTTGGAGCAGTAAATTCCTTTCTGTCATACTTCTACCGTTCTGTCCTTATTTCATTCTAAAGAGTATAAACAGATTATTGAAAATTATTTAAATGAAGATTAAATTTTCCTAAATGTATTTTTCATTCTGAATTTTAAACTGAACACTATTACAATAAATTTCAATGTTATCTCCAGTTTGTATAGGTTTTGTACTCAAATTTTATACTCTTTAGAGTTCTGAGATAAAAGGAAACATAATATATATATATGATATATTATTTTTATATAACAACAATAAGGTCGTTTTCATGTTTCTAAACATTTCTTGTATATACAATACTATTATTGACCATTACAATAAGAATTGACGATTAATGACATTTGAGTTGGCACAAAATAAAAGTATAAATATATAATTTGTGGAATAATATACCCCAACATTTTTATTATTTTATATATATCTATATATATATATATATATATATTTATAACAAAAACTATAGTGCAACCGATTAACGGCAACATAATGACGTTAAATCCTCTATACCGGATATTTAGGTTCTATCATTGCTTGTATAATAGAATATGTGAGATTAGAATGTTATGCTGATTGTAATATTAATAGTTTAGCTGACTCTTGTGATATTATCACATACAACACTGGAAATTCATTGTAAAATTGTTTACTCACATTTATCCTTTACTGTGAGCATAATCATGTTTGTTTGATGTATCAGGTACAGTGCACTCACAAATACTGCATTTGCTCTGTAAGAAGTATAAATTTCGTTTAATTGAGATATAAATGCAATATAAATAATACCCTCCATTTGCTACAATATGACACAACTAAAAAAAAAAATTTTTTTCTAAAAAATAAATTCCAATGTTCTGAATAATTTTGTAGTAATTTTGAAATATATAATCTTGATGTAATAACTGATTCAAGGAGTAAAAATATGTTTTTTCTTTTTGTTCTTTATATTTTCATTCTTTCTCTGCAAGCGATTAAAAAAAAAATGACAATTTTTAATTATGTTATTATTGTAGCGAATAAGTAATATGTTTCTAATTTTTAGTTATTTTTGTTTCGATTGATCATTTTGACACCATGTACTTACTGCCCCTCCTTGAAGTACTCCTTTAATGTATTACTGAACCTTTTGCTAAATTTTACAAATTCTCTTTTACGTTGATCTAAGGCTTGTTTACCAGCTGAACCAGGTATAAATGCAGTAACTTCATTCACAGCATCTAAAAGTTTCTTTATTGCACTCGCAATTTCTCTGAAAGAAAATAATAATTGATAGAGCTATGGGATTCTATATAAAGATTATAGATATAAATATGTTATACAAACTTGATTGTCTCTAGAAAAGTCTTTCTGTCTGTAATTTCATCGGGAATTCTGCTAAGTATTCTCTTCAAAGAAATCGATTTACGATTCAATTCTTGGAATGCATCTTCTGAGCGTGCTGAGCGATACTCTGCAGCTATAATCAAAGGCAAAACGCATCTGCTTATTTTCAATCTTATAATAATCAGATGTAGATAGTAGAGTGCTACGATAATATTATTATGTACAAACACAAAGTAATTTATATAAATAAATATAATTATATATTGTATATAAAAGATAAATAAAAGACATATTACCATCATAATCAGAAGCAGTGCCTTGTAATCGTAAGACACTTTCGTTCATATCAAGATTCAGCTCTGCTCTGCGTATTATACCCATAATTAAATCGTATGTAATTCCAGGATGCGAACTCTCGGCTTTTGAGAGAGCCGCACGCAGAGTCTGTGCCGCCATAACATTTTGCCTTTCCAGCTGTAAACATTTAACATGTTACTCTCTGACAGATATTCTTAACAAGAGGTTCTGTATCTAATAGTGTAAAATCAAAGATATAATACAATTCACATTCAAATAGAATTCACAAGATATTGTACAATTACCCACAATTTTCTTTTTCAAGTCCACTCATTTGTTAAAAAATAATTATTCTGTACAAGACGTTGAACAAGACGAAGATTGAAATATTATTTATAGAAGACACAAACGTGTCCCGGGATAAAATACAATAACAAAACTCAATCTCGGGCGAAGTAAGAGTCAAACATATTTCTTAAATTTACACAAAAATATATTATATTAATAGCGATGAAGAAATTGTTACATCACGTTAAAAAAATGTGGGATAAAATACATTCAGGTGATTCAATCTTGATAAGAACCTTTATTAAACTTTATCAAAAGGTGTAAAGCTCAATGCAAGATACAATTCACTCTGTATAATTGCGCACAAATTTTTTCAAGTCTGTTCACTCTTCCACATTTAAAAGATAAAGTATTCATTGTCAATACAAGACGTTAAACGTAGATGAAAATATTTATGGGAAAGACATGATTGTCTTGGGAGAGATATTCAGCCGATACCTTGGTTAATATTGGCCTTAATATGACGGGAAGAACCAGTGATGTAACCGGGGTCTCATCGCCCATTGTCATCCTTCACCGTGTATGTTGTTGTTCAAGACGTCGAGAATGAAAACAATTTGGTCGTGGATTCGAGACCAGGCGCAAAGTCGAGGCTGTTTCACAAAATACGGTCACGACGAAAGAATTGTTTACACGCAACTGGCACGATTACGACTCAACTAGCATTTAACTAGCATAGCTTTTCCTCTATGACAGCTGTCACAATAGACGCTAGATATGCGGAAATGAGGTTATCCGGCGCTGCCAACATTACCAGAACGACTCGAAAGTTGTCGCGGCGTCATTGGTCACCACAGCAAGTAGGCTTGCTCATTAGTGCAACTTTTTATTATGCTTTTCATTCTTCTTCTTTCTCTTAATTCCTAGTAACGGTGTAACCGTTTCGTTTTAACTTGTTATTTGTAGATTAATCGACGCGATTCATTCAACCGTGTCTGAATTGCTCGAAGCAAAATTTCTAATTACATAATTTCTTATTACCAAAGAAAAACCTTATCTCGACATTTTACATATAGGATTGTCGAAATCGTCCGATGGGCTAGAAATTAAATTCTTTTTTAAATTAAAGAAAATTAGAGAGAGAGAGAGAGAGAGAGAGAGAGAGAGAGAGAGAGAGAGAGACAGACAAAATAGTTGATAGATGAAAAGATTATATAAAGAAAAAGATTGAACTTATAAATGCGCTAGCAATCTTGAAAAAAAATACATAACAAAGTTATAAATTAATAAAAAATTAAATCATGTTCATCGAAATTTACGATCAATAGTCGTCATTTATAACAAATAACGAATTGAAAAAAAAATTGCTTATAAATTTTTATCTCAATTAAAATTTTAGAAAAGATATATATAAATTAAAAATTGTAGATCACTTAAACACATTGTGCAAGTAAAGAAATATATTTATTATTTAAAGTTCTATAATAAAGTCTTTCAAATTGAGATATTAATAGCAATGTAACTTCAATGTAAATTCCATTTATTGTTAAATACTAAATGTATTATGATAATAATCATTGCGCTTATTTGTGCATAAATAAAATGGAAAACGGCATTAGGTTTTTGTACATACGTCGAAAAATAGATTTAACGAATCTATAATATTGTTATTATGTAAAGTGAACTATATGCTAATGCTAGATTCAAATATACGCTAACATCGTAAAGCGCGTTACGAATACGGGCGTCTTCCGAGAAACGAACGTGCCTAGTTTTCAAAAATAAGTAAGATCTTTGCTGCGCAACACTCATTTATATATGCTCTATTCGAAAGCTAGCGTTCTCCAATGAGCACTCGAATTCAACGCCCGCAGCGAGGCACCGCGTTGATTGGCTGACGCGCGAGTGGTGGGATTTGACGCTCGCCAAGTCTATATAAATCGCGCATAAATCGCGCGCCCGCTCTATTGCGAATGTATGACATTCCCATCAGTTCGGAGCTGCTGATACCTGCGATACATCGTGCTGCATTGAACGGAGGACTACAACCATAATCCTGACTTCGCATAGCATGACTCTTCTTTCAAACCAAATAATCGAACTCCTTCAGGAGATAAAGCGAACTTCGAATTTAAATAAATCATAAGAAAAACGGCTCGGAAAGATCGTTGGAATTTACCAACGAGGTATTCAATAATTATTATCTATATTACTAAATTATATTAATATTTTTAATACACGCGACATTAAATATGCGAGAAATATTTCAAGAATCGATCGCTTCTAATTATCTGTCGCCAAGCATTACGATTGACGATAAGATCTACAATGCATTGTACATACCATAGATGATTGGCTTTTATTGTGACCGTCACCGCTGCGTTTCGTAATTCGAATTCGCGTTACATGCCGTGTAAGATGTTTGTTTGGATGTATTTCATTTTTGTAATTTTGCGCAAACGGCTTCGGAAAAGTTTATACAATGAAGTTTGCATCGGCCGTTTCGAATTTTTAGATCGAAGGCGACGGGAACATGACATGTCGCGCTGTCTCGGCCAACTTCATTATGTCCATCGCACGCGTAACCGTCGCCGTGTAGTGTAATAAGTGTAATTGAAGTTGAGAGCTTGTAACGGCTACTAACACGATCGCGCAAGTTTTGTCGCGTTTCCGAGCTTGCTATGCGGAAATCCTAAACGAATGATCGTCTGCATGGTTACTGATTGTGAGCCACCTTTTGGAGGCTGAAATCCTTGGGCTAAAAAAGAGTGCGAGATTCGGTAAGTAAGATGTCGCGAGATCGAGGAAAGTCGAAAGTTTCCGTGGGAACCGCGATGTGCTTGTTCCATAGGAAAGACCGTGTTTTACCACCCACCCGCCGTGTGTTTCAGGACATTCGCGTCGTGATGATTCAGAAAGAGGAGAGAGATAGGATGCAGAATCCACGAGATCTGGCAGCCGCTCGAATATCAATTAAG